GAAGATTCAAGTGGAAGATTTAGGAAAGAGAAAAACTAACTTGTCAGAGCCTTCTCAGATACTTGAGTGCAATTCATTTTTGTTTAATAAATTATCATTTACCAGTACTACCCAGTGTCCATTTTCTTGCATGTCTGCATTTTCCAGTTTATGGTTGCAAAAGTAATCAAAATTAGTGAAAAATTCACAACAACTGCAAAAGGAGGCTAAAGAACATATTAAACAACCCATGTTACTCTTGATTTTAGGATAGATGGATAGATAGATGATAGATAGATAGATAGATAGATAGATAGATAGATAGATAGATAGAATGTAGCGTGTGTGAAGCATTGTAACAGATTGAATTCCCTGGGATGCAGATTCTGAGGTAAGAGGTGAATTAAGGAATGTTCCTGGGTTCAACACTTGTGGAAGGAAAAGGAGCAGGAATGAATAGAAGAAGAAAATTAATTTCAATGAACTGTTAATGGAATGCTTCAGCATACCCTGTAGAGAATTCTGATGATAGAATGAATCTTCAGAGTCATTCCAAGTTGGAGAAGACCCTTGGGCCTTTACAAGGAGCATCAATGAGTATGGATGTGGGCCACCACAAGAACAAGGTATAATCTTGAATAAAGCAGCTCTCTTCAGCTGAGGCAATATCAGAAGGGAGCTGACAGCCAAAATCTCTCTGATGGCAACATAAGTCCTCTACTGATAGAGGGAATTGTGAGCAGGACATCATGATATCCACCACACTTGCCCCACCCTTGTGCATTCTAGATCCACTTCTTCATATAGGTTCTGGGATCAGCTCCTCCAAGAATCTTGTGGGCCCCTCTTCCTGAAAAATAGCAGGACAAACTACATCCTACTGTATCTGGTCTCAAAGCTGCAAATTATCGTCTCCTGCTTCCTTCATCAATTATAGATTTCCATCATTCTTAGGGTCTTGGTGGTTTACCTTGTGATATGATTGTCATTCATGATCACCATACACCTCTCAGCTTGGAGTTGCTATATTTGCTGATACCCATATACTAAACCAAACAACTTATAAATAATGTTTTACTTTTTCCTCCTCAATCAGTTTGTCATAGGGGATCTCCCATGAGGCCATAGGTGCAAGCTAAGGAAAAGGTGCTAGTGCAACAGTGGTGGATATCACAGAATAGCTGCTCTACTTGACTGTGCAAATACTTATGTCTTCAATTACTGTTTGTGCATGATTCCATATATGAAATTTCTATCTGGTTTCTGGGCCTGCCCAAATATATATCTTGATGATCTGACATAATCAATGTTGGGTTGTTTTGACTGTATGATCATTTGATGTCCTGTAGTCAAGCACTCCATCTCTATTAGGATGCAGTCGCATGTTAGCAGCTCTTTGTGAAAGGTACATTATCCTCCACTATATGTGAGGTGGTTTTGCTCCAGAAACCTCAGTACATTTTGATTTTCCCACAGATATGTGATGAAAACTGCACATCTTTTATTATCTTTAACCAACTTAGATACTTCTAATACCATAGGGTTTGTCTTTTATATGGGCCAGTGTCAAGACTGCATCCTGGATTATACAGCTGCCTTCTGCTCTAGGACCCACTCAAAGCTGGCAATTTTTGTGTCACCGAGTAAATGGGCTGAAATAGCAATTCCAGGAGGGGAATGTGTGCTTTCAGCACCTAAAGAGGCCTACCAGGTATTGAACTTCCTTCTTTATGAAGAAGATTTTAAAAATGCCCTAACTTGTCCTTTTTTTTTTTTTTGGAGAGGATCTCCCAGCATTCCCCAGAACAGTAAACCCCTAAAATTATCCTTAATGCGACCAGCCCCTGGATCTCTATAAGGTTTATCTCTCACCCTTTGTGGTGTGTGTGTCTTACCAAAGCATCCAAAGTGATAACCCTTCTGAAGTTTATTTAGATCATCCAGATCTCTTCAGACTATATTATGACAGAGAGATGACAATTAGTAGAGCCTTGGAGAAAAACTGTAAATGCATAATATTGTCTATGGGAATGTGAGATTTTTTTGGATATTCTATTCTTATAAAGAGAGGAAAACAAACATTTTTCACAGCAATAGTTGAATACTAGGTACCTAAGACTATGTTAATATCCTATATCCAGCATGACCATTGCAATTGTCTTACTATTTGAGTTTGAAATAGTCTCTCTCACCCACCAGGCTCTGTTCATATTTTTCAAGGACCAAACTGATGAATTAAATGAAAATATAACTGAAACTACACCTCTACATTCTCTATGTTTTTAAAAGTGGCACTAATTTCTGCTATCCTCCCTCCTCGGAATGCTATATATTTTCATTTACTAACTTGGCCAGGACAGGGGAGTGCAGTTTCAGAAGCATTCACTTGGCTTTCTCATCTACAAATAGCTCTGATTCTGTAGACCAAGAAACTATAATGGGGCTTATACCAAGTACCAATTATGTCTATTCTAATTATTTTTGTAATTCAAGAAAATAGCCATGGGATAAGTCTGTGGACCCAACAGATCCACTGTGAACCAGACCTAGGCCAGTATCCCATTAACTACCTGGCTCTCATATGCCCCATCCGAGCCTTGGTGCTATGATGGCATTTTAGGTCTCTGGGTATCAATATAATTCAGAACAACTGTCTGCCCTCAAAATGTTTGTGTACTCCTTTTCCTTGGCACAGTTTCCTGAGTCAATGGAAGGATGGAGGAATCATTACTATGCATGATATTATAGTAAGGTCATTCTTCCTGGGCACCCACCCTCTCCTTCACAGTGTTGTAGGTCAAAAATTGACTTAGGATTATAAGCTAGCCAAGGGATTTTGACTTGTTTTCAAAGTAACTTCTCTCAGACTTCCAACCACCTTTAATTTATTTATTGTACAGACTGTGAATTGGTAACTAATTTCACAAAGGCACCATGTTAAAATGACTGTCCATGTCCTATTAACCACCTCTTAACCATTTATCCACCTTCAGCACTATGTCGTACTAATCATCTCTGTAGTTCTCTGCAGATTAGACCTCCCAATCTACCACACTGACCCTGTAGTACATAGTATTTGCATCCACCTGACTTCTGACAGTTAAGTGCAGCCATCCGGTCTCTATTGTTTCAGAGTCATCACCATTTCTGTGATTAATCCTTTTTTTCCACGACATATCTTCTACTCTGGGAGCTGACCTGCAGAGGAAGTATTACCACTGAAATTCTTAGAGGTGATCGTGACTTTCTCACTTGTACACTCCTTATAGTTTGGTAAACAGTGTGTTCTGTTGGTTCTCCTGCAGAATATAGACCTCTGGACGATTTTTTTAGCCTTACATAATATATGTATTCTATCATTCTCACTTCTATGAGTTTTTAATTCTTTACCATCTGCTATAGTCATTTATAACTTACTGAAAATAAGCTATTGTTTTTCCATACTTTGAAGAGCTATCCTAGTAGTGAGTTCAAATCATCTCCTGGGGTCTTAGCCAGGATGTTAAATCTCATATCCTAGGAAAGCACTCTCAAATTGATTTGTTCTCCTATATTCAAATACATTCCAGTCCCACTTATCAAGCTCCTCAAAATTCAGTCTCATGCTTTCTCCCTCAACACTTTATAATACTTGCTGGCTAGGTTAGGTCCTGAAGCTCCTTGTTGGTATAGTCCTTTTCCTTCCTTTTTACATCCAGTATATCTGCATGTAGGTTATGCTGTGGCTTGCCACTAAGTTATAGTTCCAGTGCTGCAATGGCAGATGGGGGCAGATTCCAAGGGAATTCCATGTTATCTTACAGGGGAAAGAATTCTGAATCCTCAAACGAGATAGAGTGGTAGCCCTCAATAGGGAAGTATGGAACACTTCTTAATACCCAAGGGGTTTAGAAGAATCTAGGGATATAAGATTTTTGGGAACACCAATGAGGAGGTCCCCATCCCATGTGTTAGGATCCCATTCCTTCCTAATCAGGGCCCTGATCTTAGCGTAGAAGTTTTGCTTGGTTGGAATTTTAACTTTGTTTTAAGCTTGCTTTCAATAAGTCTTATGCTTGGTCCTCAGATTTCTCTACATCTACCTGGAAAAGATGAAAGCGTCTTTATATGCTATGCATGAAACCCTCTGGCTTTCAAATGTAACTTTTAATTACTGATTAATTTTATTGACATTTTCATTTTTTTAGGGGGTCAATAAAGTTTAGCAATAACCATCCAATTTTCTCGCCTTCCTTATATTTAGTATTTTCCCTCATATTTCTCAAAGGTCTGATACCTGGCACCAGATAATGTATTCCATCCCACCAGTATGCCATCCCAGTATCCTACGTGGGAAGGTTCTAACAATTTCTTCTTCTACTTCTTTTCTGGGGCCTATCTACTCCACCTACCACCATTGATGAGATCCTCATTGCCAGCTGAACAGCAGGCAATCCATTTTCAAAATTGCATCACAGTGTTTGCTTTCTTGAACAACTTCTTGACCAACTCTTTCAGGTTGGCTTCCTGGGCAGCAGACTCAGAGACAGAGTTCAGCATGAAGCATTTTTATTAGGGAATATTCTTGGGACCAATACCTGTGGAAGGGAAAAGAAGGAAGCAGGAGAAGTTAAGCTGTTCCAATTTGAGAGAAGAAGGTTATGACCCTCAGTCATAGGAAAGGAAGTACCCACAGGAAGCCAGGCAGTGAGTATGACCTTGGGGGTGGGTTGGGGGGTGGTTCTCTTCAGCTGAAGCAATTCCTGAAGAGGTCTGGCAGCTGAGGGCTGTCTACCAGCAGCACTCTAGGCAACTGAAATAATGAGTTCTTTCTTTCTGAAGGAGGATCAGGGAAGCAGATGGCAGAATCCACTACAATATGTTATTTCTTTTCAATAGAAAGTTGGTAGCCATCAAATGCTAGGATTGAGAATAGCTTGATTCTTAAAATAGTTTAAAATATTTACATATTTAGAACTTTATTTAAAATATTATTCAAAATGTTAAGGTATATCGTTCAAATATTTAGACATAAATATGCAACCCTCCACTCATACTTTTGCTCTAGGCATCTCAAATATTATTGACAGACTTCTGTATCCCAAATCTATCTTTTTCCTTTCAGATAAACCATGAGAGAAATTCCCATTTATTATATAGTTATCATAAAATCTATAATACTAAGACAAAAAAAAAAAACAAACATAGAATCACCCATTATTTTAACACCCATAGAGAACTATTAACATTCTCAGAATATGCACTGGTAATTACATATAAATCACTTAAATACATGCCTTTTTTTCATAAAAGGTATCATATGTGCCTTTACAGATTGCTTTTTGCACTTAAAATTATATGCTGAATTTTTATGTAATTAAATGCAGACGCCTATTGACATTTTCAACAGCTACAGAATATTTCAGTGTGTAGGTACACCTTAGTTTGTTTAGCCAAATGTCTATGTTGAGACACTTGGGTCAATTCACTTTTTCACCCTTCAAAACAGTTTGAACAATGCACAGCTTCATCCAAGCCAATTGATGGATGGGATCCTAAGGATAACATTTCACAAGCGGAATTATTCAGTTGAAGGGCAGGCACATCTTGAACACATATCTCTATGGACCTAGCACCTTGTGTGCTCCCAGCAGCAGTTTGAGAGTTCTCCTCAACCTACACCATGGGGTGGGAGAGAAGTGGGTCTTTTCCTCTGTGGATCCCAACAACACTCTCTATAGTTCCTTAAAGTCCCCACCCCAACCAACTAATAAAAGAAATCTGATGCAAGCACTAAAAAGCATTCTTTCTTTGACTGCATTTTATTATTATTTCAAGGCAGCAACTCTTTTATCCACTTACATATACACTACAGTTGGCCAAGAAAAAGAACATGTTCCCAACAAATGCCCAAAGAACCATAAAAGAAAATTGGCCTCAGAAATCTCTGTTACCCAGCACCTAGTGGCTCAGAGGGTCTCTTGCTTCCATCCTGTCCTTACCATTCCCAGAGACACCACTGAAATGTCTTGCCTTTACCCTCTCATGCTTGGACTATGGTGGTAACTTCCTAACTGGTTTTCCAATCTCCAGTCACCATTCTGGCCCCACCCCAATTGGCACCCAACCTGCACACAAATCACCATGTGGTTTTCCTGGCATCCTGTCATTCCTCTGGACATGAAAGGCTTTGTTGTCTCCCAGGGTTAGATAGGCTAGTATTTGGAGGTCAAATGGGCTACTATTTGGACACCCCAGTGTAGCAATCAGGGGTGTTCCGTGGACAGGACTCACCCCAACTCTCAGACCCTCCCCTCACTTGCCTCCCCACATATTGTACTCCAGGAAGGTCAGCCTGCTCCTTGCCTTTCTTCCACCCTCTTCGCTCCTTGAATGCCCTTCTGGCTTTTCTATCTTATCCTTCAAGCCCAGCTTACTTCGAGTGTCCTAGTGTCCCTCTCCTCTGTAAAACCTTCTCTGAGCACTGGTGGATTCAGCAGTTTCTGCTGCCTCTAAGCACTGATGGGGATGCATCTGGTTGTGACTGGATGGTCTGGTTTTGTTAATATATTTTTGTTTCCATATACCTTGTCTCTTCAAACAGATCATAAACTCAAGGAAAATGACAATGTCTTTTTTCTGCTGCTTAAAACACACAACTTTATTGATGACATAAAAATAAAGTCTCAAATGTATAAACATAAGTCCACACAAAGGACCAAAGATTACCTTACTTATGAAGAATCAGCTCAGTTTCTGCTCATGAAGCATACTAAAAATATCTCAATCCAGACAAGATAAAAATCAACACATGTATTTTCAGTACAAGTTTGGATTCATTTGGTGCTCATAAAATGGCCCATCTATAGACCATCATAGGTAACATCAGTTTTGAAGTTATAACACAATTTACAATGTGCATCACTTCCAGGCTACAAGACCAAAATATTACCCAAATGTGTGTAGGAACATATATCCAATTAGAGTTTGCTTATTAACAGCTCAACTTTTTCCTTCACCTCTGGGTCACTGCATTCTGCTGCTAAGGCTCGAAGTTTTTTGGCACAGGCTTTAGGTCGTTGGAATAGGAAATAAAGAGAATTTTTACTGAATTTGTCCTGGGTAAATGTTTTTGATCTTCTTTTAAAATGGTAATTTATATTCTCAAATAGTGAAAGAGCATTAAGAATATTCTCTTTTGTCTCTTTCTTGCTAAAAATATTAATCAGTGTTGTTGGTGCATTGGCAATGAGCAAGTCTTTTGTCATAGATGGATTTTTAGAGAAATTCACAAGCATTCCCAAAACATGATCTTTAGTTTCTCCACTTCCCACAGTTAACAAACGAAGAAATTCTGAAATATAATTTGTAACCATATGCTGATATTCACTAGTAATAGTCAGGTGCCTTATCAATCTTAGTCCAGCCAACTGCACATTTGAGTTCAAGGGATAGGTGACAGTATCTTCACAAACTTGGTTTAAGTATGTTTTAACCTTTCTATGGTTTTCAGCAGCCACTGAGATATTATTCAGTGCATTTAAAGCCTTCTGCCTAACACTAGGGTAGGGATTACTCAGCAAGCCTTCAATAACTGAGATTCCCCCAACATTACGAACAATTTCATGGGAATAAGGATAATCAGCACTGTTATATAGGGCATTAGTGGCTATTTCATGAACAGAAGGATCTTCAGTCATCTCAATCATGCAAATGAGTTTTTCAAGATCTCGTGGATCCATATTAGCTTCACGTTTACAGCGGCAGGACCAGGGCCGCATTTTCTCCCCAGACTTGCCGTTCTTTCTATACTCATCTTCACCTAGAAAGCCCTCATTTTGTTGAGTAAACTTAGTTTCCGACCAGATCATGGCTCCATCCCATGGCCCCATTCCCGCCCCAGGGACCATGGATGGATATATACCTCTTGACTCAGCGGACTTTTTGCCTTTAGCATTAGGTGCAGATTTGTCTTCATTTCTGTTTTCATTACCAGTACAGAACCAAGTCCTTAGATCAAATCCATCAGCAGCCTCAAATTTATTGTCAATGCTGGCCTTATCCCCAGCTCCAGACTCAAAATTAACATCTTTTCCACTCTTGGATGTGAACTCACTACTGTTCTCACTCTCAGCCCAAAACAGGGACCTTAAACTAATCTCCTCAATATCAGGGCTGGATGCCCTACTTAGCTCATCCTCATCTACATCCCTAGACCAAGTCCAAGATGGTATGCCAGCTTCTTCCTCAGCCCCAAACCTAGACCCTTTGGTTGTTGCATCTTCATCCCAGGGCCAAGACCCCAATCTGGCTTCAGCCCCAGCCTCAGCTCCAGCCACTGCCCCACCCTCAGCCCCAGCAACTGCCCCAGCCTCAGCTCCAGCCACTGCCCCGGCCTCAGCTCCAGACTCAGCCCAAGCCTCGGCTCCAACCTCAGCTCCAGGCTCAGCCCAGGCCTCAGCCCCAACATCAACCCCAGCCCCAACCTCAACCCAAGCCCCAACCCTGGCCTCAGCCCAGGCCTCAGCCCCAGCCTCAGCTCCAACCCCGGCCTCAGTCCAGGCCTCAGCCCCAGCCTCAGCTCCAGTCTCAGCCATGGCCTCAACCCCAGCCTCAGCCCCAGTCTCAGCGCCAATCTCAGCCCCAGCCTCAGTCTGAGTCTCGGCTCCCGTCTCAAATCCAGCCTCTGCCCAGGTCTCAGCCCTGGTCTCAGATCCAGCCTCAGTTCCGGCCTCAGCTCTGGTCTCAGATCCAGCCACAGCCCAGGCCTCAGCTCCAGTCTCAGTTCCAGCCACAGCCCAGGTCTCAGCCCCGGTCTCAGTTCTGGCCTCAGCACTGGCCTCAGCCCCAGCCTCAGCCCCAGCCTCAGCCCTGGTCTCAGCCTCAGCCTTAGTCCTGGTCTCAGCCCAGGTTTCAGCCACAGCCTCAGTTCTGGCTTCAGCCCCAGCCTCAGTTCCGGCATCAGCCCTGGCCTCAGCCCCAGCCTCAGCCCTGGCCTCAGCCTCAGCCTCAGCCCTGGCCTCAGCCCCAGCCTCAGCTGTGGCCTCAGTCCTGGCCTCAGTCCCAGCCTCAGCTCCAGCTTCAGCCCTGGTTTCAGCCCCAGCCTCTGATCTGGCCTCAGCTCCAACCTCAGTTCTGGCCTCAGCACCAGCCTCAGCTCCTACACAGGAATCTACATAAGCTGCCTCCTCAGATTTGATCCAGGACCCAATACTGGCCTTGTTCTCATCCACCAACTCAGAATTATTGATAATCTCTTCCCCAGTTCTTGATGTGGATTCAATACTTGACTCATGCTTACAATCAGACCTGGCCACAATAACAGCCTCTTCCCCTGTCCAACACCAAGAACCTATAAAGGCCTCACTCCCAGGCCCAAACCAGAATCCTTCATTGGCCTCTACCTCAGCACTAACCAAGAATCTTCCACTGGCCTGGTCCTCAGACTTAGCCCAAGACCCTCCACTGGCTTGGTCCTCAGAGCCCAGCCTAGAGCCTCCACTAGCCTCATTCCCAGGCTTAGACACAGCCCAGGATTCTCCACTGGTCTGATCCCCAGCACCAGCCCAAGAAGCTCCTCCACTAGCCTGATCCTCAAATCCAGATTTAGAGCAGACAACAGTCTGATCCCCAGGCCCAATCCAGGACCCTCCACTGACCTGACTCACGGTGGCAGCCCAGGATCCACCACTGGACTGGTCTGTGGTACCTGATATAGACCCTCCAATTACATGGCCACCAGCTCCAACCCAGGAACCTCCTCCATTAGACTGATCCTGAGACCCTGGTCTGGATCCTCCACCAGTCTGATCTCCAGCACCAGCCCAGAATCCTCCTCCAATGGCCTGATTCTCAAATCCAGGTTTGGAACAACTACCAGCCTGATCCCCAGCCATAGCCCAGGACATTCCACTGACCTGACTCCCAGTGCTAGCCCAGGACACAACACTAGACTGGTTCATGGGCCCTGGTCTGGATACTCCAACATCTTGACCACCAGCCACAACCCAAGACCCTGTTACATTGGTCTGACTCCCAGTGTAAGCACAGAACCATCCACTGGTCTGGTCCCCAGTACCAACCCAGGAATTTCCACTGGACTGACCTCCAGACCCCAGGCTAGATCCTCCACCAGGCTGGTCCCCAGAATTAGCCCAGCATCTTGCTGCATTGGTCTGGTCCTCAAATACAGCATTTGCCCCACCAGCAGCCAGGTCCCTAACCCCAACCTGGGACTCTCCACTGGTCTGGTCCACAGACCCAACCAAGAACCCTCCACTGATTTGATTCCCTGAATCTGCCCAGGATCTTCCACTGGACTGATCCTCAGGCCCTGACTTGGACCCTCCACCAGCCTGGGCAATAGCCCCAGCCCAAGAACCTTCATCACTGGCCTGATTCTCAAAACTAGGCTTAGATCCACCACCAGACTGATCACTAGTTCCAGTCCAGGACCCTCCAATGGCCAGGTTCCTAGTGCCAGCCCAAGACCCACCACTGGACTGATCTGCAGGCCCTGGTGTAGATCCTCCACCAGCCTGGTCCCCAGTGCCAACCCAGGATGTACCACTTGGGTCTACAGGCCCAAGCCTGGACCCTCCACTGGCTTGATCTGCAGTATCAGCCCAAGACCTTCCACTGGACTGGTCCTCAGGTCCCAACCTGGACTCTCCACTGGCCTGGACAACAGCCCCAGTCCAGGACCCTTTTTCACTGGCCTGATCTTCAAATCTAGGCTTGGACTCACCACTGGACTGATCACCAGTCCCAGCCCAGGACCCTCCAGTGGCCTGGTCCATGGCCCCAGTCCAGTAACCAATACTAACTATGTTTCCAGCTCCAGCCCAAGACACCGCACTAGCCTGATTCTCAGCCACAGTCCAGGACCCTCCAGTAGCCTGGTCCACAACCCAGGAAACACCAGTGGCCTGGCCTGCAGGCCAAGACCCCTCACTGACCTGACCAACAACCCAGGGCCCTCCAATGGCCTGATTCCCAGAGACAACCCAAGACCCCCCACTAGTCTGGTTCTCAGCCCCAGTCCAGGACCCTCCAAAGGCCTTGTTCTGAGCCTCTACCCAGGAACCACCACTGGCCTTGTCCACAGCCCAGGACCCCTCACTAGCCTGAGCCCCAGCCCAGACTCCTCCACTGGCCTGATCCCCAGCTCCTACCCAAGATGCAACAGCAACCTCATTCTCAGCCCTAGCTCCAGCCCCAGCCCAGGACTTAATGCTGGTCTCATCACAGGCCACAGCCCAGGAACTGACAACACCAGCCTTATCACTAGCCCCACTCCAGGACCCAATACTGGCTTCATTCTCATCATCAGCCCAGGACACACTATTTTCCCAGTCTCCATCCATGGCCTGAAACCTAAATTTGATCCACCGCTCAGCAGCAATCCAATCCTCTACACCAATTCCATTCCAGTAGTAGTCATGAATATTAGGCTGAGTCCTTCTGCAAGCCTGAGAGTCTATCCCACCTTCACTCTCAGATGTGGGCACAGCCTCAGACTCAGGCTTTGCATATACTTCATCTTTTGCTATGGTTTCTGCTTCAGAATTGGACACAGCTTTTTCCCTTACACCAAGCAAGGCCTCATCTTGGGAACTGGCCACAGTTTGGGGCTGAGCAGAGCTCTTTATACTTGTCCTGGCCCCTGCTTTAGTCACAGTATTGGAATTGCCCCTGACCTTATTCCTGGCACCAAGCAAGGACTCGTTTTGGGAGCTGGCCATAGCCTGGGGCTGGGAAGACACCATTGTACCTGCCCCAGTCGCTGTCTTAGGCACAGCACTAGAATGGCCCCTGACCTTATTCCTGGCACCAAGCAAATTCTCACCCTGGGAATTAGACACAGCCTGGGGCTGGGCAGACCCTGTTGTATCTGCCCCAGTCTCTGCCTTAGGAATAGCATTGGGATTGCCCCTGACCTTATTCCTGGCACCAAGCAGGTTCTCACTCTGGGAACTGGCCACAGCCTGGGACTGGGCAGAGTCTCTTGAATTTGCCCCAGCCTCTGTCTTAGGCACAACATTGGAATTGCCCCTGATCTTATTCTTGGCACCAGATAAGGCCTCACCCTGGGAACTGGCCACAGCCTTGGGATGGGCAGAGCCCACTGTACCTGCCCCAGCCTCTGGCTTAGACATAGCAGTGGGATTGCCCTTGACCTTAGTCCTGGTACCAGTCAAGCATTCACCCTGTGAATTGGCCACAGCCTGAGGATAGGCAGAACCCACCCCAGCCTCTGCCTTAGGCACAGCATTGGAATTACCCTTAACCTTATTCTTGGCACCAGGCAAGGCCTCATTCTGGGAACTGGCTACATTTTGGGGCTGGGCAGAGCACACTGTATCTTGCCTGACCCCTACCTTAGGCACAGCATTGCGATTGCCCCTGACCTTATTCCTGGTACTAGGCAAGGTCTCACCCTGGGAATTGGCCACAACCTGGGGCTGAGCAGACCCTGTTGCACCTGCCCCAGCCTCTACCTTAGGCACAGCATTGGTATTGCCCTTGACCTTATTCCTGATACCAGGCAAGGCCTCATTCTCGGAAGTGGTCACAGCCTGGGACTGGGAAGAGCCCATTGTACCTTCCACAGTCCCTGCCTTAGGCACAGTGTTGGAGTTGCCTTTGACCCTATTCTTGGCACCAGGTAGGGTCTCACCTTGGAAATTTGCCACAGCTTGGGGCTGACCACAGGTCCTCTGGTCTGCCTTAGACCCTGCTCTGGAAATGGCATTAGAATCACTACTACCATCAACCCTGGAATCAGGCAAGGCCTCAGCTTGGGTCTTGATCCCAGCCTGAGGCTGTACACAGGTTTTCATGTCTGTCCCAACCCCTGCTTTACATTTGGCTTTGGCTTTGCCCCTTGTCTTACCTCTAATAATAGGTAAGGTTTCACCCTGGCTCTGGGCCGTAGCCTCAGCTCCTTCCTTAGACATGGTATTGGCATTGCCCTTAGCCTTGATTCTTCCATCAGGCAAGACATCACCCTGGACATTGGCCACAGGCTGAATCTGGGTACAGGACAACATGTCCATCCCAGCCCCCGCCTTAGCCATGACATTGGGATTGCTTCTGGTCTTATCCCTGGTATCAGTCAAGGCTTCAACCTGTGAATAGGTCCTCGTGTTTGTTCTGGCCACTGCTTTAGCCATGGCGTTGGGATTGGCTCTACCTTTAACCTTGGCATCAGGTATGGCCTCAACCTGAGCACTGGATACAGCTTGTACCTGAGCAGTAGCCCTCATGTCAGCTCCAGTCATTGCCTTAGATATGACATTGGAATTTCCCCTGCCATCAACCCTGGCACCAGATGTTGCTTCAGCCTGTTTTTTGGCCATAGTCTGAGACTGTATTATACAAGCTTTCATATCTGCCTCTATCTCTGTTTTACACATGGCATTGTCATCACCCCTGTCAATAACCTTTGCCCCAGGAATGGCTTCAGCCTGTGTCTGGGGAGCAATTTGGGGCTGGAAAGAAGCCTTTGTGTCTACCCAAGAGCCTGCCTTACACAGGATTTTAAGATTACCCTTGTCCTTATCCCCAACACCAGGCATGTCATCATCTTGGACCTTGGCCACAGCCTGAGACTGTGCACAGAACTTCATGTCCACTCCAGCCTCTGCCCTGGATGTGCCATTGAGATTTTCCTTAGCATCAACTGTGGGATCAGACCTAGCTTCAGAATGAGTTTTAACCACACTCACAGTCTCTTCCAGGGTTCTTGTCTTGGTTTCAGCCACAATTCCAGCCTTGTTCATGGTCCCAATCTTGACCACTTCCTTGGTCACTGCCAAGACCTCACTCTGTGTCACCATTACTTTGTTAATCTCTGTCTCTTTTTCAGCCAATGTACGAGCTTCAGCTTTGGTCTGGGTCATTGTTTCTTTCTTGGCCTCTGACCTGGCAACCGCTGCCCAAGCTTTAGCCTTGGTCTGGGTCACTGCCTCTTTCTTCACTAGTCCCCCAGCCTCAGCATCAGTTTGGGTCACTGCCTCTTTCATGGCCACTTCCCTAGCTTTGGCATTGGCCTCAGTCAGAGTCACTACCTCTGTCATGATCAGTGTTCCAACCACTGATTTGGCCTCAAATTCAGTCTCTGTCTCTGCCTCAGCCATTGCCTTGGACTGAGAGTTGGCTTTGGGTCTGGATATAGCAGTGACCTGGGCCTCTGCTTCAGCCCCAAGCCCACCTCCTGCTCCAGTTTCTGCTCCAGTCATGGCCTTGGGTCTAGTCTCAGTCTCTGCCCCAGCCAAGGCTTCACTCGTGGCCAAGGTCTGGTTCTGTACCCCAACCACAGTCTCCATCTTGACTTTGGACCCATTTCTGGCAAGTCTCCTCTCATTCTGAGCTCTTCCCTTGGTTAATCTGTAAATGTAGTAGCAGGTGCCAGCCCAGATCACCAGTCCTGCAGTTGCCCAGCCCACTTCCTGAATGCGGCCCATGTAATAACCCCTGCTGAAGGCACGAACAAGGTACAGGGGGGCTCACTCGGGCTGAGGAAAGAACGTGATAGGTCTGGATGTAGGCCTGTGAAGGTGCTGGTCTTCAGCTACTACAGTTGCCACTGGTGGTAGACCTAGAAGTGAAGGAAGGAAATAAACTAAAATTTCTCTTCCAATTCTATTGTATCATACAGCTGGATACACAGAGGAACAGGAAAAGGCAGAAATTATGTGTTTGGTGGGAGAAGAGGATAATTAGCAAACTTTCCATCCCTTATTTCACCCTCTTCCCACCTTCCACAATGCCCAACAATTTTCCCCTGAGGTACTTCCATATTCCAGGAAGGATGATGGGAAGGTTGATGATGAATGGGAGAAACTGAGAAGTCTCCAGACTTTAACTTTTACTAGACCTACTCTGGTCACAGTTCCCACAGCTCCCCACTTTCATACCAACCTGTACTGATCCAAAGAATTCCCCTCCTCTTTTCTTGTCTTTCTTGGTGATACTCCCTAAAGTAGATACATAAATTCATGAGATCTTTGGACCTAAAGACAAACAGAGAGACACAGGGAGTGACATACAGGAATAGAGAGTTTGGTTTTGGGGGGAGGTTTATTTGTTTGTTTGTTTTGTTACCAGGGATTGAACCCAGGAGCACTTAACCACTGACCCACATCCCTAGATCTTTTTATATAGATTTCTTTTTTTTATTTTGATACAGGGTCTTGCTAAATTGCTGAGGCTGGCTTTGAACTTGCAATCCTCCTGAGCTTCTGGGATTACAGGCATGTGCCACCATGCCTGGCAAGAGTTTGTTCTTAATGGGACAAGAATATCAACTCCCTCAGATCACTTCACTCCCCCCGGGGGTTGTCACACTCTTTTCCCTGTACCAGAATTAAGGTGAGGGTTCGAGGTTAATGGCAGAGGTGGGTAAAGATAACTGAGAAAGGGAGAGATTAAGGATCCTCTAGATCAGACACTGGTCCTTATTGGATACACACTGGTCTCCACTAACCCATCCTAGAAGTTGACCCAGCCAATCCTCACCTTCTTACCAGTCTATACTGATTGGAGACAATTTTCTTCTTGTTTCTTTGTTTCCAGTTATCTCAAGCCCTGTAGCAGAGGAGCAGATAGATCTATAGATAAGTGAACACATAGGAGATAATGAACACTAAGTGCTTGGTAGAAAAGACAGGCATTTTAATTCCTGACCCCAATGCTTGCCTTTAAGAGCCCAGGACTAGTTTACTAAGGTGTCTTATCTTGTGTTCCCCTACTCAAGTCTTCTTAGTCACACCATAGCCACCCTCACCCCAATATTCTTACTGTTTCCTGCACTAAAATCAATAGGGCATATGCTATCACTGTAGAAAGCTGGCAGAGTGTAGAAGAGTCAGAAAGACCCTCCAGTGAGACTCTCTAAAGTCTCAAAAACCTGCTCAGCCCACCCTCTCTTGTCATCCCCATGCACTGCCCACATTCACACTAACCTCCATAGTTATGGGCCAGTCTCTTTATCTTTCTCTTGTTTCCAGTGGTAAATAGGCCTACTGCAAGCCTATGAGAAGACCTAGGAACAGAGACAAAAAAGGAGGGTGAATGTTGAATGTTTGTGACATCCTAACATCTAACATATGGGTTGTTGTGTCTGCCTTTCTGAGAGACCGCCATTTCCTAGCAGGCAGAACCTAGGGCTTTCCTAGCACTGTAATGCACAGAGTATAAAAGGGAGACAAGTAAAGAAAAAAGGGGAAAGATAGAAGCAACTTATTTTAAAACCACCTGTAGCATTCTAGGGGCACCCCCAAAAGTCCTCCATTTCCTTCACCAAGATAGTCAGGAAGGCAGAGGTATCTGTAAAACTGCAGTATGGTGGAAGAGATGCAGGGCCCCAGGCCCCATGACTATAGAACCACAGCCTACTGCCTTCTGCTTCCCCTAAAACCCATTTTGAGGAGTCTCCAGCAGAAGATACAGGTGTGGGGGAGGGCTTTTGCTTCTGCAAAATCATTATCCTTTCCCCCAAAGACTATCTCAAAAAATAGTAATGTTCTTTGATAAAATTCATATTTTTTGACATTAACTGAAGTACAAATAAAAGCATCTGTAGAAAAGTTCGCTGTCTTTATTGGTCTTCAATACAAAATATAAGTTAAAAGTCCCAAGCTTGGTAAAGAAACACAATTTAGGGAAAGTTGCCTACATCCCAATCAGCAGCACCTAAATGCTTGTCATGGAATTCATAAAGAACTTAACAGACAGTGCCCGCGCTCACACTAACCTCCATAGATCCTGTGCAGTTTTCTTCTCTCCTTCCCTCGCCTCACCACAAACAGTGCCACACCGAACTATTGTCAGAAAGAGAAGCAATGAGTGCTTAGAACAGCACACAGGCCACAGACCCCAGTACTCGCCTTTCCGGATTCTGGAACACGATTATCAAATGTCCCTCCCCTCGCTCAGACACCACCCCTACCAACCCAGCCGTCCAGTCACTAAGGCCCACCATTTTCTTTACAAACGCCACCGTGGCGCGTCCCTTCCTCTGAGATGATCAGGAAGCCTGCGGGCATGTGCGGTCAGTGATTAGAATTAGAAAGGATGGACATCTCGTTCTGTATTTCCCTCTTGAGACACTCTCCCCACCAGCCACCCTGTCAAAGCTCATGGTTCCCCTGAACAGATTTAGATGGGGGTAAGGGCACTCGGGAAAATCAGAAGCAGAGGCTCCTTGAACTTGAGCCAGCACAGACACCTCTTTGGCGGGTCCCTGCACCACAGACGGTTCGGCAAGCTGCTGCTGGCCTGGCGGCGGCGTGCGGCCCCAAAACCCTTACCTGCTCGGCTTTCCCCGGGCCTGATGCTAGCCCGCCATGCGCCGGGCAGCGGGGAGCTGGTAGCCAGACGAGAGTGACGACTGCACCCTGGGCTGCGTCGCTCTGCAGCTCCGGGTCACGTGAGGGCCGCGCGTCATCGCTGGCTCTCCTCCCCACAGACCCCCACCCGCCGGCAGGCAGTCAACAAGACCCCCTTCCTCAAGCACAGACAACCCCCACCTCCGGTCTCTGCGCGGCGCCTCTGTGCGCACAACCCTGTCACTCATCTCTATCCTCTCCAATCTGAGAGCCCACAAGTGGCATCACCGCCTTGCGGTTGGAGTTTACCGGTCTCTTGTTGCCAGGGTGGGTCTTTACCCCCCACACCCCCACCCTCACCCACTTCCAGGCCTTGGTTGTAGCCTTTTCTGCATCTTCGAGGAATCCTTTCTTTTCCTAGTATGCTAAAAGATCAATGCTCCCCACCCATCTCCTATACAACCTGCCCTCCTTAGTACCTACAGCGCCAGCACCAAATTGCCTAGAGAAGGAGGTGCCTGAAAGGAAAGCAGAGTGAAAGTAAAGCCTTAACTTTCTTTTATATATTCCTTTTTTTTCCTTTTACTATCACTTTTTTTGTAATGGGAAAATGCAGTAAAGTCATTTTCATTCGACATAAAAAAATATTCAGGTTGTAAAAATAACACGAGACACATTCGTTTATACTATTTTGTGCCACTTAAAAATGTTTTCAATTTGGTATAAACTCTTTCACAGGTTTCAAAACAGACTAGTGTTATTGACATTTTAAATAAAAAATTCCTAAATCAGCACATTTTTCAATATCATCTATACATTAATCTTTGGAAAGACATTTGATTTCTAATCTTGACAGTTTTACAAAAAAAAATTGTTTATAATATTTTAAAGTTCTGGCTGAATATATGGTTTCCTGTCTGAGAACTTTTTCAGAGATGATTCCTAAATGATTTAATGAAGACTCAATTCCTCAAGAACCCGGTGCCTTACAAACTAGTGACATCACAGATTAACTGTCTTTCCATTAAAGGGTCTTTGTTTGGATTTTACATAAGTGTGTAATCAAATCAGTCTCACCACACCCATAAAAGGACCAACTGCTATCACATGGATGGAAAGGAGGCTCAACAGGTGGAATTTTCATTCCATCATGACATTAATGAGATATCTGAAATCTGCCATCCACGTACTATCACCATAGCATTGACCAGTGTTCATAATGGTGGTGAGGGTCTGTGGATGACTGTGAATCATCTCAGATCCTGAACAGTGGCCAGGAGAAAGAAGTATTTTCACTCACTGTACCACCCGCCCAAGACCCTCAGAATAATTCCAGAACTCAGGAACAAAGAATGTAGAAGTTAGTCTGCAGGCACCCACCTGTCCCTGCTGGGAATCATACTCTAAATATAGACCCTCCAGGCAGCCTTTTCCTTAGAATGTTGAAATATGACACCCCAGCCAGCCAGAGGCCCTCCCTGTGAGGGGGGCTGCTGTGCAGGAGGCCCTTTTGGAAGGTGAGTCAGGGAGCCCAAGATGCTATAAGACCTTACTAATGGCTTTTCAGAACTTAAATTGATAAAATGATGGCATGAAATTCTAAAATCTTGGTAGTGTTAAAAAAAAGAAAGAAAGAAACCATAGCATTGGATGTCAAGGGCTAATTTTTAATGTAAAAACTCCCAGCCAGCACAGTTGCTCACACCTGTAATCCTAGGGGTTCAGAAGGGTGAGTTAGAAGGATTGCAAGTTCAAAGTCAACCTCAGCAACTTAGGGAAGCCCTTAGTGAGACTAAAAACTAAAAAAAAAAAGACTAGGGATGTGGCTCAGTGGTTAAGCACCCCTGGATTCAATACCTAGTACAAGGGAAAAAAACTCTCACAAATCATTAATAAAATGATAACCCAATAGAAAAATGTGCTAAAGATATGAACAGATTTGTTCACAGAGAACAGTACAAATGACCGACAAGCATTTGAAAAGATACTCAGCTCCAAAGAAATGCAAATCAAAACAACTATGTCTTACTATGTTTCAGCTATGAGTTTGTTAAAACTTAGAAATTGAATAATTTTGTTGACTGGTTTGTGGAGAAATGTTCACTCATGCACTCTGTTAGATGCAGATGTTCTAATTCAACATTTTATAGGGCAATTTGGCACAATCTATTAAATGATAAACAAAATATCCTACTAATTCTTGGACCCAGCATTTCTTTTTTCCTGCTGCATTATATTATACATAACTGTTGCATTCATTATGTCATATTTGTACATACACATTACATACTTCCCCTGTACCTTCCCTTTCCCTCCCATCCTGATCCCCTTGCTCTGTTCTACTGATCTCCTTTCTATAATGATGATAATTTTAACTAGTTCTTTATAATTTTATATATCACCATGGTATATTCATACATGCACATAGCATAATTTGGTACATTTCATTCCCCAGTATTTGCCCATGCCCTCCCTCTTCCCTACCCCTCTCAACTTACTTCCTCTACTCTGTTGATGTCCCTTCTAATTACCTTCTAGTTATATCCCCTTACCCTTCCCCCACCCCTCCCCTTCTCCCTCTCCCTCTCCCTCCCCCCATTCATTTGACCCCTGACTTTTTGAATCTGGCTTATTTCAATTAGCATGATATTCTCCAGTTACAATTTGCCAGCAAATGACATAATTTCATTCTTCTTTATGGCTGAGTAAAACTATATTTTCTTTTCCATTCATCTGTTCATGGGCAAGTAGGCTGGTTCCATAACTTGTCTATTGTGAATCATGCTGCTATAAACACTGGTATGCATGTTTCACCATAGTATGCTGATTTTAGTTGTTTTGGATAAATACCAAGGAGTGGAATATCTGGGTCAAATAGTGGTTCCATTCCTAGTCTTTTGAGAAATCTCCATACTGCTTTCCAAAGCGGCTGTACTAATTTTCACTCCCACCAACAACGTATAAGTATACTCATCCAAATCACATACATCCTGTCTTGCAATTATTATTAGTTGTATTCTTGATGATAGCCATTGTATTTGGAATGAGAAGGAATCTCAGTGTAGTTTTGATTTGCAGTTTTCTGATTGCTAAAGATGTTCGGCATTTTTTCATATATTTGTGGGCCATTTGTGCTGTTTCCTTTGAGAAATGTTTGTTTAGTTCACTTGCCTATTTGTTGACTTGGGTGTGGTCTTTTGGTATTAAGTTTTTTTTTTAATTCTTGTATATTCTGGATATTAATCCTCTGTCAAAAGAGTAGCTGGCAAAGATTTTCTCCCATTCTGTAGACTTTCTCTTTACACTCTTGTTTCCTTTGCTGTACAGAAGTTTTTTTTTAATTTGATGACATCCAATTTATTAATTCTTGGTATTATTTCCTGAGCTTTAGGAGTCCTACTGAGGAGCTCATTGACTACACCTATAAGTTGGAGTGTTGCCCCTATGTTTTCTTCTAACGTGTGTAAAATTTCTTGTCTAATCCCTAGGTTTTTGATCCACTTAAAGTTGACTTTTGTACAAGCTAAGAAGGATTCGGTTTCATTCTTCTAAACATGTATATCTAGTTTCCCAACAACATTTGTTTAAATAAGGCTGTCGTTTCTCCAATGTATGCTTTTGATACCTTTGTCAAAAATCAGATGATTGTATATGTGTGGATTTGTGCCTGTGTCTTCTATCTATTCCATTGGTCTATGTGTCTGATTTTGTGCCAGTACCATACTCTTTTTGTTACTATAGTTCTGTAGTACAATTTGAAATTGGCTATTGTGATGTCTTTGACACTGCCCATTTTGCTCAGAATTGCTTTGGTTCTCAGAATTCTTCCATGTAAATTTTAGGACTGCTTTTTTTTTCTAGTCTGTGAAGATTGTCATTGGTATTTTGATGGGGATTACATTGAATCCTGTAGATCACTTCTGGTAATATAGTTATTTTAACAATATTAATTCTGACTATTCATGAACACAAAAGGTCTTTCCTTCTCCTAGTATCTTCTTCAATCTCTTTTTTCAGTGTTTTGTAATTTTCACTTTAGTGCCCTTCCACCTCTTTGGTTAGATTTATTTCTAGGTATTTTTGAGGCTATTGTGAATGGAATTATTTTCCTGATTTCTTTTTCAATAGATTAATCATTGGTGCATAGAAAAGATTGATTTTTATATGATGATTTTGTATCTTGCTACTTTGCTTAATTTGTTTATCAGTGCTAGAAGTCTTCTGGTAGAATTTTTAGGATCTTCCAAGAAGAATATATTATACTCTAATATTCAAACCAAGAAAAAACACTAGCACTGCTTTGACTCCATTATCATCATCCAAATCACAGTTATGTCCCCAGTGTTATAAGTTTGGTGAGTTGAATCCTTTTTATACATTATATATGCATGTATGTCTTATTAAAATATAAAATAGGATCATATTTGGTATTCTGTTTTGAAACTTATATTTTCATGTAAAAATATGCTTCAGTGAGTTAGATATGTCAGTATATTTAAAGCTGCTTTGTTCTTTTAACTGCTGCATGATATTCAATAGTTTGATTGTGATATTGTTTATTTAAACACCTACCCCAACTGATGAACATAAAATTGTTCTGAGTCTGAGGTTAATAAAAATAAGCCTTCATTAAACAGCCTGGTATATACAACGTGGCCCATGGGTAAGAATTTTTTTTAGGATATCCTACCTGTAAATAGACTTGTTTGATTAAAGGAATAAGATTTTATAAATTTAATACTGCCAAAAGACGGATATGAGATCATACATAGTTAATGGATATAGTGTCAAACTGCCCTCCTAAAAGCTGGGCCAATTTACATCCTTGTCAAGTACATGACAGGACCTGTTCGCCAGACTCTGATGCACACTGTATATTGGTGATCAGTGCCAATATAAGAAGTAAAAATAGTATCAGATTTTCATTCTTTAATTCACATTTCCTAAATATCTGTTATCTTGACCATCATTGCGTATGATTATTGACCATTTGCATTTCTTCTGTGAGAATCATTCAGATCCTTGAAGTTTTTTTCTGTCCAGCTGAATTTTTCTCACTGTCTTATAGTTCTTATGCAATATTAGTTATTTTTCTGATATATAAGTTCCACATATATTCTCCAAATCTGTCAATAATAT